CTGCTGCAGGATTTAAAAAGAACTCAAAGACCTGTACAGAGTGACTGTGTGTGTGTGTGTGTGTGTGTGTGTGTGTGTCATAAGTATAAAGCACCGCTGCTCAGGTCACGGTCACCTCAGCTCGACAAACAAGTCTTTTAAACTTGTCAAAGTGTCAGGTCGGCTGGAGCTGGTCACTCAAAACCGACCCAGAGTCAGTGCACAGACACACACAAATACAGACACACAAATACAGACACCTACACTGAGCTGTGAGGAAATTCCCTCTTAACTTTCCCCTTGAATTCTCTGCAATCTCCTTGTGAATCTCTGAGTTCATGTTGCATTATTTACGAGTAAATAAGTGACTCAGTGTCTAAAGAAACAACACAGTTAAACTTCTGCAGAATCAAAGAAAGGTCAGGCTGCAAGTGAAGAATGAAGGCGTTTTTGAAACATAGTAAGAAATACTTCAAAAATAGAAGAAAACTATAAAACAAATCGTATGAAGAATATGAAAACCAATCAGACAATTATACCGGTAGATAAAAATGTGCCAGAATTTGACATTTTAATTGGATTCACAGCTCTGAGGGTTGAAACAGCTGGATAAACAGCTGCAGGGAGGCGGACGTTGTGGAGCGAGGTCGTGGAGCGCCAGCTCGCAAACACAAAGAAGTTTTTGGGGTCAGTTAACTGCAGCTGATCTGAACCACTCGTAAGTTTACCTTCAGGTTTTGAACATATTAAAGGACCTAACAAAGTCGCCGCACTTCTCTGTTTGAGGTCGCCTGATGTTATTAAAGCTGACCTCTGACTGGAAGTTGAGGTTCCTGCTTGACAGTGAGCTTAATTCTGCAGAAGGAGGAAGGACGTGAGGCCCAGCGGCCCACACGTCACGTCACTGTGGCGCCTCTGTGGTCCGTGGCCCGCTTCCGAATGTGTAAAACAGGGGCAGAGCTTCGGAGCTGATAAAGTTCTGCAGAAGAGATGGTGACGTCCCTCTGCTCTCTGATTGGTCAGCTGGAAGCTTGATTACCAAGATATGAATACTGCTACCAAGAATGTTGGTTCTGCTAATATTTTCAATGTCTGATATTTCTAATCAATAATAACTTGTTTTTATTGATCACTATGAACAAATACTAATAATAATGAGATCTAATCAGCAGCAAGAGGATCTACATTCCTTCTGTCCATGTTAGTGTCCAGCTGCTGGTAATTTAAAGCTTGCTTCTGAACTTCAGTACCCAGAAGCCTTTGCTGGTGTTGGCGGTCAGGGTGGAGTCAAACTGCGAGTTTCAGATAAAAACTTTATCGACAGCAGTGGTGTAACAAACAAGACGGACACGGCTCTGTGAGGGCCCACCTCTTTCTGAGAAAGCTGTCCAAGCTGACCAATCACAACGCTCGCTGTGGTTTATGTGTGCGTGTTTGTGTGTGGGTGTGAGTGTGTGTGCATGTGGTTTATTATTAATTCTGCAGAAGTCTATCTGTCGTGGTGTGTGTGGTATTTCTCAGCAACCAACTCAAATTCGCCCTTTTGTTTCCTTTTCCTCTGCATCTTGTCTCCGCTCATGTCTCCTACCTCATTTCCTTGTGTCCTGCCTCATCTCCTTGTCTCGCATCTCCTCTCCTAGCTTTGGTTTCCTCTTCTGTTTTGTTTTTCTGCCTTATTTCCTTGTGTCTTCTATCGTCTCCTGTTTGTCTCCTCCTATGTTTCCCTTCTCCTCTTGTTGCCTTCTCTTCTCCTTGTTGCATGTGTCCCTTCCTCTCCTGGTTTTCTGTCTTTTGTGCTTGTCTCCTGTCTGCTTTTCTTGCGTCATGCCTTTGTTCAACAAACTCTCAGATGCACCTGTTGCTGCTGAAAAACACTGAACCTGCACAAACCATCTCGCTGCCCAAGCCAAACTTGGCTTCCAAGGCTTCACGTAGGCAAAACGTGGTCCAAGGGTGGTTACTGACCCAGTGACCAACAGATCCTGGCGATCCTGCAGTGAAAGGGATGCAGTTTAATGCACCTTGATGCTTAGCAATAAAATAGTCTGAAGAAACGTGCAAAGATGGACGAAGACAACAGTGGTGTGAAAGTTCACGAGATCTTTTGCAAACTCTGCCAGTCAAAGTTGTGTCTTTTTGGATGAGCTGCAATGAAGAAAAGGTGTAATGATATCAAACATGTTTATTCTATCAAAAAAAGCCTGAAATTAGACAAACTGACGGAGTTTTTGGAGTTTGCACTGTCATTTGTACCAAACTGTCACAACTTTAGCAAAACTGAAGTTTTGCTAAATTTTATTGCAGCATTAAACACGTGTCTGCATCAATACAATCACATTAAAAGTCATTTAATCCCAGCATGAGTCAGTGTGGCTATCTGCAAAAAAAAAAGAAGCTGCCCTTCTTTTACACCATTTTTCTGAGAACTTGTTGGTCAGTAAACTGTGGTTTTTGTGCATGTGTGACTAACCCGCGGGTTAACCTCGCTGCGCTCCAGATCCTGCACCGGGGTGCATGCCACTGCTCTGAGTGGGAGATTACTGGGAGATTCCCTCTTGAATGTTTCTGAGATCTATATATACAAACACACACACACACCTGCTGCTGCTGCTCAGCCGTGTGTGTGTGTGTCAGATGTGTTATGAGTGTGTCTCTTTGCAGTCATACCGCCATGTTTATGCACAAAAACACGAAGCAAACCGCTAGTGAGAAAAAGGAAGTCATCGGGGGGGTTCTGAGAATTACTGCGGTGACAGATCATGTGACTTTCTGTAAACTGAACCGAAATGGGGCTCATTTACATCCCACCGCCATCTCAGACAGGAAGTGTGTTTGTGTGACATTATTTTTGTTTGTTGACTTTTTTTCTGCTTCTCTATTTTTTTGACATGTAACACAAAAACTGGCTAATAAACAGTGAAAATAATCTACATGTGAAATCAAAGGGAAATGAGCGACAGATTGATCAATTAATATTGTTTTAATTTGTTTTTAGTGTTTTTAGGTTGTTGTTTTTTTAATCCAACACTTGGCTTTGAAGTCGGGCTTCACAGACTAACTATTATGCATCAGTTGTCAGCAGCATAAGTTTTGTCACATCCTTGCAGCACTGAAAGTGTTTTTTGCTTTTTTTTGACCAGTGCAGAAAGTGCATTGCTTCTGTGCAGACTCAGGACCAGCTGCAAAGGGCCGTGCAGGCAGTGCAGGGGACACTAATGCTGCAATTATGGCTGCAACATTGGTCCTTTGCTTGCATGCACAGTTGTGCAACTATAATGGCGGGCGCTCAGGCCACCCTGGACTCGCCAGTCCTCCTTAGCTTTTTGTTCCCTTTCCACACAAAAGGTCAAATCAAAATTTTAAGGCACACATGTTGTCATATCTGCACAAAACAGTGTTTATGTCCTCCGATTACAAGCATTCCTGAATTATTATTATTATTATTATTTTGAATTGTCAGAGGAAACCACTTTTGAGCGTGATGCCTGCAATTGTTCTACTTTGCAGTAATCCTCACTAGCTTATAAATTATAGATCAGTGCTCTTTTACAGCAGACAAGAGTTTTATCAGAAGGGATGTTTGGTTTCCAACTGTCTCTTAACTAACACCAAGATGGTGTCTTAAGTCTTTCCAGCCAATGACGCGCTCAGGCTCCTTACATCAATAGTATGAGGCTATAAAATGTAACTTTTACAGTAAATTGAAATGTCTTTTTCTGCAGCTAGAGTAGTAATGTTTGGTGAACACAAAAATCACAAAGCGCACCTGAACTTGGCTTCAAGCGCACTATTTTGGAGCCACGTCCTACAGGATAGTTGTCATAATCTAGAGCGTGAGCTGAAAGAGGAGACAGAGTGATCATAGAGGCATTTTCAAAGTTTTCTGCTGCAGTCTCCGTCTCTGTGCAATTCAGGAATCTCTGACCTCCTGCAGTGATGTATTGACTAAATGCCGGTAACACTGACCTGCTCAAAGTTTAAAAAGAATCGAGAGCTGCACCACAAGCCAAAACCAAACCAGAACACAGCCGTTCTCATAGGTTGATATGACCTTTGTGCATCCACTGCCATTTGCAAAGTTGTCAACGTCAAGCAGAAACTTCCAGTAAAACTTTCCACACTGAAATATTAGGCGGCCCGAGAGGGATTCTTTAAAAACTTTGCGTACATGAATGCATGCAATCATGCATGCACATGAATTAAAACAGTTTTTTTTTAAAAAGCTGCAGAGGCCGAGAATGAGGACTGAAAAGAAGAGACAAAGCTTTGCGTAGTCTTAAAAAGACAAAACAGGGTCCATACTCCAATTAACAGACTGCAACAGTGCATGATGCTCTCATTAAAACTAACCTCTCTCAGGATCGCCTAAACCAAGCTCACTGTTCTGAGTGAGTCCAGTGCTAACGAGTGACGTCAAAGGATCACAAAGTAACCTCACTAGCCTCAAGTGACTAGTGGAAAATTAAATCCGCTTCCTCGTGGAAATCACCTACAGTATTCCTGCACATCCTGAAAAAATCTTAAAAGTCTTTAGAATTCATCCAAATATCAGTTTTCTTAAATGCTGGAGCTGTCACAGCGACAGGTCTCTAGTGATTCACAGCAACAGGACAGTTAATTTTTTTTATTGGAGTAAAAATGTCTTCAGTCATTCAGAAGTCTTAAAAGTGCTGAATCCGTTGGTAGCCTGGATGCTCGTGTCGTTAGCATGTCTGCTGGCCGGCAGTGAGATGGAGAAAATCAGCCATCATTGTTAAACTGACCCTGCACATGTATGCAGGCATTTCAAACTGACTGAAATCAAGACAGAGAAATTAGTTTGCTGGTGGTGGATGCGAACAGCGACGCGCCCCTAATGTATTCGTATTTTTCAGTATTTTTGGTTGTTGTGAATTAGTTATTAGTTTAATTCTGAGTGGCATTGATAAAAACCTCTTAAATTTGTTTAATGTTCTGGCAAATTACCAGCATTTATACTGAATCCCAAATGAATTGACTCTTCCTGTGTGTCTGTGTCTCAGCTGATCAGGTGTATGGAGACCAGGACATGCATGAAGTGGTGCGGAAACACTGTATGGACTACCTGGTGAGTAGACGCGTCCTTTTTTCCTCCTCCTGTGTTACTCTTACAGTTCGAGTCTGTGTTTATAAAGTTTTTGCTTTTGGCGTTCAGATGAAGAACGCAGATTATTTCTCCAACTACGTGACAGAGGACTTCACCACATACATCAACAGGAAGAGGAAAAACAACTGCCATGGCAACCACATCGAGATGCAGGCCATGGCGGAGATGTACAACAGGCCAGTGGAGGTTTACCAGTACAGCACAGGTGAGTCGAGAAACAACCTTCATCGCCGTCAGCCAGTCGCATCCATCTAACAACCTCCTCCTCCTCTTCCTCCAGAACCAATCAACACTTTCCACGGCATCCATCAGAACCACGACGAACCAATCAGAGTGAGCTACCACCGCAACATCCACTACAACTCCGTGGTTAATCCCAACAAGGCCACGATCGGGGTTGGACTGGGACTGCCCGCCTTCAAACCTGGGGTACAAAAACCAAACTCGCTTAGCACATCAGACTGACTTTAGTTATCCTAAAAGTTGGGAAATCCCAGTTCTGCAAAAACACAACAAGTAACACAATAAATAAGTAGTAAAGCTCAAGAAAGTAGAGCATGACAGATTGGTAAATCAAGCGAATCAAGCTTGATTTTATACACCTGTGGCCAATGAAGTGTTTGAAACACCCGAGTTCAACGATTTGGATGGGAGAGCGAAGACTCCTGCCTAATCCACCTCCATACCATCAGAGATGCAGGCTTTGAACTGAGCTGCATGGTCTCTCGCCTCCATAGCAGGACAAAATTCAAGTTGTCTGACCACAGAACAGTTTTCCACTTTGTCTCAGTTCAATCTAAATGACCTTTGCCCCAGAAAAGATGGCGGCAGCATTTCTGGATCATGTTCACGTGTGGTTTCTTCTTTGCAGCTTTAACCTGCATTTGTTGTTTGAATGGCACAGAGAACAGGCTGTGTTCACGGACCGTGATTCCTGGAAGTGTTCCTGAGCCCATGCACGGATTTCCATGACAGAATCATGACTGTCTTAAATGCAGTGCCGCCTGACAGTCCAAAGATCACGGGCATCCAATATTGATCTGCGCCAGAAATTTCTCAAGATGATGTACTTCAGCATGCAGAGTCCAGTTTTTTTGGAGACTGGTGAACCTCTGTCCATCTTTAGCTTTAAGAAACTCCGCCTCCCCAAGACGCGCCTTTTACACCCAATCGTGCTGCTTACCTGTTGCCAGTTAACTTAATTAGTTGCAAGCTTTTTCTCTCAGTTTAAACAGTTGACATGTTTTCTGTGTTGTATTGTGAATAATCGAAGGGTTTGCTGGTTCCAAATCATTGCATTCAGTTTTTGATTACACGGCGTCGGGGTTGTTGCGGTCTCACGCCGTCTGTTTAACGGGCCTGAGAACAACTTCTTGAAACATGCCGTTTATATGTACAGTAGAGGGGGCAGATCAAAGCCTACAAGTCTCAAACTTGGCAGGGTTTTTTGATGAAAACTTTCCTGTGAGTGCTGTTACGAAACATTCGTCTACAGCTCCAGCGCTTCAAGATTTGTGATGCAGAAACGTATTTTTATGTAGATGCATGCCTGTTTTCAGTTCAGCGACTCTTTGAAGGCGCCGTTTCCGTCTGTGACTCCATATCTCTGCTGCTGCGTGGTTTCAAAATGACAACAGAGATACGAGATGGTCTCAAATGGATGCTCAGCCCCCCTCTTTACACTTTATAAAGACGTACTGAGTTTTATCACCTTAGCTGAGATTGTCTGTATTAACCGTCCTGCAGGCAGAAGTAAAATTTATGAAGGACTTTAAGTTTGACACATTGTGCCTTGTTTTGTCTCCTTTTCCCAGTCACTAATAAAATCTGACCAAATCTAGGGTTAAAGAAAACCGCTGTTCTAGCTGATATTTAGCCTTTTAGCTCAGGGAGTTGTGTGTGTATAATAAATATATTTCCTCCTCCTCGCAGTATGCGGACCAGTCTCTTATGAAGTCGGCCATCAAGACGTCAGAGGAGTCGTGGATCGAGCAGCAGATGCTGGAGGACAAAAAGAGGGCGACGGACTGGGAGGCCACCAACGAGGCCATTGAGGAGCAGGTGGCCCGGGAGTCTTACCTGCAGTGGCTGCGGGACCAGGAGAAACAGGCCAGACAGGTGGGACGGGGGAGCCGGGCCATGAATATTCACTGAAAATTATTTGACTCAGAACTGTGTGCTTTTATTTCACTTTCGAGAAAAACCTGTTGTTCTAGCAGCAGAATCCTTAAACCATCCGCCCTGTTTTCGTAACTGCTTATGTAATGTAGGAATGTGATGGATTTACTTTCATTTTTAATGCTTTCAGACAAACCATACAGACAGATATGAATTGTGCTTTCAGCTAAACACCAACTCAGTCGATGGTCATTTTAAACAGGACCCACAGTTGGACCTGGAACAAAAATCAGATTGCCATAGGTGACCCTAACCGTCACTCACTGTCGGGGTTAAAAGGTTTTGTGTCACGATCTGGTACAGGGATTCAACGCAGAGCGGTAAGGTATCTCCAAGGTGTGGTTTATTTACAGTGCAGTGCAATATATGTACAGTGAAGGGATCCAAAAAACTCTGGGGGGAATCACAGGGTAACTCGCTCACGTCTTCTCCGCTCACACTCACACACTTTCCCGTAGCAGGGAGGTCGCAGGTCCGGGGGGGGGGAGATCTGAAGCAGACGAGAAGGCAGGTCACCAACAAATCACAAGTCACGGATATGAAGCACAAGAGCTGTGAGAACACTAACGTTAGGGGTACAATCATCCAGCGACGAGAGGATCTGTGTTCCAGCCTCAAATAGTGCTCCCGGTGATGATGGGTGAGTGTTGTCAGGTGTGTGTGTGGGCCAAGGGCGGGAGCCCACAGTGAGCTCCGCCCAGGCAGAGAGGGAGAAAACAGCAACAGCAATTGTAGCCTTGTGGGGCCGACCGGGCAGGCACGGAGACCATGACATTTTGAACCTTTTCACTTTAATTTGTCGCCATCATTTAAAACCCCACAGAGCCAGCTGGCTAATTTGTGCTTTTCTTTGAAAGAAAATTATACAGCAGTTCATATCAGGCCACCAAAACCATTTATTTACCTCATTCAGCCGAACGACAGATGAGCTCGTGCCACAGCGAGGCGACAACACTTCAACCGTGCATCCGTAATTTACAAGAGTCGCTGTTCCTCCTGCAGTAGCAATCAGACCTGAATCAAACGTGCTCGTCCAAATGAACTATAAACTGTGACTTTTGATGGATTGTGAGCCACACAGTTGCTTTTGTCGACCATGTATGTCAGATACAAAGACAAGGATACCAACTACCCATACCCATCATTTCATTCACTCTGACACACCCGGTGTTTAGTTTGCATGTTCTCCGTGTGCTTGTCCCGGTTTTCCAGCAGAGCATCGATTTCTCCCGTCATAAAAAAACATGCTTGTTAATGCTCCCTTTGTCGACCCACTCCTGCAGGAGCTTCCTGGTTAAACAAATATAACTGATGGTCAGGTGGAGGTGTTTTCCACAGAGTGAGACGCCTGTGAAGCAAATTGCCTCAAATCCCCTTAATAATGAGTAGGGTTTTTCCTTTTTTTTATAGTCGGTAGTTTCACTTTGGAATACCAATGAAGGTCCTTAAAAAAACCAAAAAACACCAATGTTCAGAGTTAAAATATGAAGAAGCTGCTCAGCACTGATTTGTTATATACAGCAACGACTGAATTAAGAAGATGTAAAATGAAAGATGCAAGCAGTATGCAGAAAAACTGCTGGATATTTAAATCTGGAAGATTTCTTGTAAACTTCAGGCTGACACAAACCTTCTTCCCTGTTTCTAACAGAGATATCTGCAGCATTCAGGGGAAGTTTAAAGAGGAGCCACAATATTCAATTAATATGCTATATTCTGATAGATTAACAGGATATACAGTAAATCAGCTGGTTATTTGTGGGCCTGTAAAACAGAAGAAATAGCCATTTATATTTGAACCTACTGACTCAGTGACTTAAAAAGCATCAGTTCTGTCTGCTTTAAACCGTCCTGTCAAATAAAGGCATGAAAAATAATGAAAAAAATGTCTTAAATTCAGTTTAAGTGGATGAAACTTTGCTGGTGTAACAAAAACCAAAACTTTTCTCTTTTTTCAGCCTCGTAAGGCCAGTGCCACCTGCAGCTCGGCAACAGCGGCTGCTTCCAGCGGGCTAGACGACTGGAGCGCTCGGTCACCACGGCAACGTGACTCAGACCCCTCCCACTCTGACCTCACAACTCCCCCATCAACCAACAACAAGCCCCCTTCCCCTGCAGGAGCTGCCCTCATCCTGAGCAAACCCCCCTCCCCCTGCGCCCCAGGTATAACACACACATATGTACCTTGGCTCTAAGTCTGCACACTAAAACGTACCAATCTGCTTTATGAGGACTTAATTGTGTCCACACAGTGTGAGCTAATGTTTTTTCCTGACGTACCTGTATGTATCTCGGCCTGTGCAGGTCCCAGTAATCAGAGTCGTCACCATTTGGAGTACAGAGCCATCATGCAGGAGATGTCACCTACAGCGTTTGGTAAGCGTCACACACACTCATTCACACCTTTGAGGACCTTATTTTTTATACTGTGTGTTCCTGTGACGTGAGTCTGTCACACGGCCCTTTACAGGTCCATTCCACAGAGAGGTTCAGACTCCACGTTCACACATGTAAAACTGTTTGTCATTTCTGAATGGCCCAATCAGACTGCAAAAGCTGCAGTTCCTCTAATGGCCACTTGAGGAAGTTCAATCAGTCCCCACAGACTTCCATATTAATATGTCTAACTTTACAGAAGAAATAAACATGTTTACAACCTCATACAAAACAAAGTTTTGGCTTCTATGTATAATTTCTTTCTCCATGGCAACAATAATTTTTATATAGAACTTCCTCCCACAATCATTTTGTTAAGGCTCGAAGGTTTGGGTCAACGCTGGTTGTGCTTTGCTAGCTGTCTGCTAGGCTTCACATCCACTAACTGAAGTTTGTGCTGTTGGCACCTCATGAAGCGTATTTACGGAAATTATCTGACAAATAATATTACTTTAGAAAGCTGTCTGATAAAGATGGACATGGCCACCGTGACATCACCCACTGATCTGCATTTTGAAGACTTAACATTAGCATGCTGGTGTTTTGGAGCCATAAGTTGGATTTGGATTGTAGGGTGGAATACTAATTTATCAGCAACTGTAGTCATCAAGTTGTCAGCCATCAGCACAGACCTCCTTACAGTAAGTCATAATATTTGTTTGATAACTTAATTTAAAACTGCTCCAAAAGTACAAACAGTAAAAAATTGTTTTAAAAAAAACACGTCCAGTTCAGATAGCCACTGGCTACAGTTCCCTGTGCCTGACAGTCATGTGTGGCCATGTATCTGTGACTCAGCATTTAAAGCAGGTCATCCACTAATAAGAAAGTCAGGGGTTCATTCCTCAGATCCTCCACTCTGCATGTCAAGTGTCTTTGAGCAAGATACCTTGATGCATGCATCGTAATGTTTAAATAAATCCGCTTCCTCATTTATGAGGCATAGAAAAGTGCTTGTATGAATGTGTGTATGACTGGGTGAATGATGCTTTGTGGTAGAGTAGAAAAGTGCTACTCAAGTAGCCGTCCATTTACCATTTACTCTTAACCATAGCTTCCATTCAAAGGAAGCATGTGCATTTTCTTTGCACATGTGTAGAACAAATCTGGGTCAAATGCTGTTAGCTTAGTAGCATTAGCGTGCTAAGTTCCACCCTCCAGTCTAAATATGGTCACTTCTGGTTAAAAAAACCCCATCAATGTCGAGGCTTCAGAATGCAGATTGTAGACACCAGTCGGGGGCACATTACAAATGGTGTGGTCCTAGTTTTGCAGAGATGTCCCTCCAAGGTGTAAGTTTCCTCCTGGTCCTCAGAAAGACGGCTATAACCGTACACTCGTGTAGCTGACAGTCACTTTGTTTACAGTCAGTCCTCAACAGGAAGCAGCTGAGCCGTGTGTGTGTGTGTGTGTGTGTGTGTGTGTGTGTGTGTGTGTGTGTGTGTGTGTGTGTGTGTGTGTGTGTGTGTGTGTGAGGTTATCTGAGGACGTACATGCTGTTGTTGCTATGAAAAAACACACAGTTTTGTTGTTGTTGCTGTATGTGTAACAGTGTTATCACGTTTAACGCACAAAGCTGAATTCTGGAGTGTTTATCAAAGTACAAGATGATATTTAACTCATCAGGATGTCTCTCTGTGTGTCTCATATCAAATTGGCAATTACATGCAGAAACACACTGCATGTAATTGCCAATTTGACCCCATTCAATTACAGATCGTCTCATTTATGGCAAGTTTTTAATGACGGCTTTGGTTATGCTTCAGTCTTATTTTACAGTATAATAATAGCTTAAGCAGGATAAAACGGATATGAACAAAACTGAACTTTGAGGGCGTTGTTTGAAAAAGGGTGGGAAATTGCAGCATTGTTATTTAAAAAGTCACCGTGTTGCAAAATGTTAAAAATTGCAATAATATCGTATCATGAGTGAGGTATTGTTATAATAACTGTGTCATGAGTATCTGAGTCTCCCCTGATCCTGCTTTGACTGTTAGTTAAACTAAAAAGACAACGACACGTTTCTGTCATCGCGGTGAAGTGGCGTCCACTCAGCGCTGCGAAATCTGTACGCCAGCAGTTTAAAACAAGAAGACCGTAAAGTAATATCAGGACCGCTTTGCTGAGTCATTCACTCCATCTACCTAACACACAGTTCAGCTGTTGGTGAGCCGTGATTTCAGATGTTAGTCACCGAGCCTTTGTAAAGTGGAACATACTGCATTCATGGTGCACACTACTTACAAGTGCAACACATTAACCTCATCTCCTGTCATATATGTACGGGCCACTGGTTCCTGTTTCTTTTAGTCGGGTCCCGATAGTTCCCAAAACCATGTTTGTGTCAACATGTATGTAGACACTGTTATTACTTATTTGAAGCGCTTTGGTTAGTGTCATGATGGTTTTTGGAGCCATGAGTGAAACATTTAGATGAGAGGGTGAAGTGTTATCAGCTAACTTGAACTTGCAAGCTGCAATTAAAGGACATAGATTCCTGCTAATTAATGTTATGTAACTGACTAATAACATAATAAAACTCCATTCGCCTAAAGTGAAGCACAGATGTCTTTGATGTTATGTTAGCACAGTTAACCACACCGCAGATGCGATTTTTTTTATCAGTTAGTTTCATTAAAAATGCTCTCAAAGACACCAGCAACACAAATATGGTGACAGTTCAGTTATTTCAATTGGTGAAAGCAAACTTTAGCATTTAGGAAGGAGCATCTACTTCGCACCTAAAGTGGCCTCGCCCCTAATTCTAAAAGATGCATGAGTTTGGGGCAGAAGAGTTGTCAGACCTGGTGGCTGTGGCTGAGAGGGGGGTCACAGAGTTATCCACCTCCTGTAAGGCTCAGACACACAGGTGAGACAGAGTCCTCAGGCAGATCGTTCAATGAACGATGTCTTTTCAAAAACAAATCTCAGAGAAAGTCACCCTCTCACCTTGTATTGAACTTATGGTAATGTAATCAGTTAGCTTCAACTGGTGCCAATAAGTGCTGTCAAAAGCCAAAGAGGAAGAAAAGTTACAATTTCCTTCCAGAAGCAGTCAAAGTGGCAGAAACTTGAGTGGTTTTGTCTCTGGTTCTTGAATAAAACAAACTCCACCTGATAGCAGAGCAGCTATCAATGGGGAAAGATGCACACTGTGCTAATATAAATTAAGTACATAAGAAATCCTGATATCGGGCTTGATTAAACTCGACCTATTCGCCTTTTACTAGAGTTGATCATTAGCTTATTTGTAAGTTCATCACAAGCTTCCAAACATGTGTTAATGAGTTTAAACTAAAGATGGGCAGACCGTGACCCTCCCAGAAGCAGCTCAACTGACAGAAACTTGAGTGGTGTCTTTGTTTGACCATTTTCTCCTCAGCTTTACATGATGAACAATGTAACTGAGAGCAGGGGAGATAAATGAATGCAAGTATTTCCCTGAGTAGTTCAGCTTTAAATATGCTTATTAGCATGTTCTGTTTATCAAAAGCTTCCTAACACATGTTAATGAGTTTAAACTAGATGGCCAGGCAGCGAGGGACCACTCCTAAAATTAGTTAATCAACACTTGAGAGTCATTGTCATCGTTTGATCAGTTTCTCCTTGAGAGTGTAACCAAGAGCAGAGGAGAGAAAGTTCGGACTCACTGCGCTGAAATAAAACTGCTGCATGTAAATTGGTGAAATTACATGAACAAATTTTGGTGTCTTGTGTTCATTTGAGACTCCGATCAACAGCAGGTTTCACTGACCACATGTTTACTGCCGCATGCTCATTTTTAATTGGTCAGATAAAATTCCCAAGCGATTAGTCATAAAAATAAGGTAAATCTTTGTTTTTGTGTAAAATCTCACTGCCCTCTGCTGTGCTTCTGTGTCACCTCCTCCAGGTTTCCTGACACGCTCACAGCTTTAGGAGCTTCGTTTTCAGTGGTTCAGAACTTGTTTGTTTTTTAAAGTTTAAAGTTTTGACACATCCCGGTGGAGCTAGATGGATAGCGGTGTGCATTATCGTTTGAAAGATATTTGTTTGTGTTTATGGCAAATGCCAGATTAATGCAACCGCAGCAAAAGAAGTCACAACTGCAAAGATAGAAATAACAAAGTGCTCTGTAACAGCAGCACTCAAATCGCCGCAAAGTACAAGCAACACATGCCTGGATTTGTCCAGCAGAGATGGACCAGATGGTCGTTCTGCAGGCGCGAGACGTCCCGATCGTAGTTGGTTATATTCGCTTTTCCATCACCTCTCGGGACTTGCTGACTCTCGTTACTGTTGTTGGCTGTTGTTCCTGCAAACTCAGGGAGATATTTAAAACCTCATTACATTTGCTCTGATTATCAGAAAAGAAAAAGACAAAGTTGAAACCCTCTCTGCAGGAGTAGTTTTTCTACCAGCATCAAACTACTCAAAGTATAAGCATTATAATCATTTCCTGTAAATCTGTTTAACAACTATCACTCTCCCTGAATTTTCACAATAGACTGCAATACGTTCACCGTTCACAGCTGATAGACAGCCAGACCCCGGCTTGATTAACTGGGAACTATTCAGCTTTTGTCAGAGCTGATAACAAACTGTTTGTGCATCAAAAGCTTCCTGACACGTGATAATTAGCTTAACACCAAAAGATGGATAGACAGAGACTGAGCCCCACTCCCCAAAAATAAAGCAGAAACTCTGACTGGACGAGCTTTGTCTCCATCTGACCAGAAGCTACAGACACACTGTGAGACTAACACAACTTTAAATGAGGGCGAATGACACTTTCACTGTGTTGAGCTCAGTCATTTAGGTAAATAGCATTAAGTTGTTTTTAGTGTCCATATGTAGTCTTCAAACTGATTTCCTCATAAAAAACCACTGCAGGACGTCACATCTGAGGCCAGCGCTCAGTGCCCAGCTTATCCTTATAGTAACCGATACCATTCAGGGAATCGTGCTTCATTATTTTAGGCATTTTTGTTAATGTCACTGTTTGTTGCTCTGCATCACCTCCTCCTTTCTGACACTTTCACACCAAACCTGAGGGGATTTTTCATTTCTTTTGTGGCTCAGCAGCCACAGGTCTGTCACTTTAGGCGTTGATTAATTCAGCTGTTTGTTAATTGAGCTTTAATTCAATTTTGACAAACTTATGACGACCCGAGCTTCTTTGACCATGACCTCATCTGCTTTTTTATTTTTTTATTTTTGAAAGAGCCTCTTGTCTTTTTTGACACGGTGCCCTGCTTTGTCCCTTTGGTTTTGAGGCTTGAACAGACCCGAGCACCCGAAACCTATTCAGGTGTCGTTGTCAATGTCTCTGGCTTTTTATTAACACCGTTCACGCTCAGCGGGTGTTTAAGATATGATTTTTCAAACTTATGATGTAGAGCAGCAGTCCCCAACCTCTTTTGCGCCACGGACCGGCCATTAAGGTGTCACGGATAAATACAACAAAATAAAATGATACGACCAAGACAAAAACGGTGGTATTCTGTAAATATATAATAAACGCGAATTCACTGTGTAAGTGTGTTTATTATTAGCAGCGTCCTCCTGAAATGCACCAACAACATTGAGAGTAACATCCTCCTCTCTGCCCTAAAAATGTCTTTCAAAATAAGGCACAACTACAACACGGGAAAAGACCCAGAGAAACAGAGTTAACAACAAAAACACTGAAAACCATAAATTTCACACCCGAGCCACAACTCTCGTGGCCCGGTACCAAACAACGCATGGACTGGTACCGGTCTGTGGCCCGGGGTTTGGGGACCGCTGATGTAGAGGACAGCCCGTGGGCTCACACTGCAGAGACGTTTGGTCAGTTTTCATCGCGTTCCTCCTGCCATGTCACCAAATGACACGATGAGCATTTCAACTTTTACTGAGAACATTTTGACCCCATACCAAGTCTAACATCGTGTATGGCTAAACATGAAAGCTTATTATAACACCTGGGAGAACAGCCACACTGTTAATTTTGCTGGAAATAATTTGGACTGTCTTTAACTCTCAACACTCCCTCTGTCTTTGTTTGCATTGGGACCTGAAGGAGCATCTGCACATGAAAAAGGCAAATGATGTCAGACTTAACGAGCAGATCATGTTGCAGATAATATCTGGGGTGTTCATATTAACTGTCACCATCATAAATTAAACCTTGCGTGCTAAAAGAACCCCAAAGTGCTTCAGACTGCTGTGAGTACTGTCACAAACAAAAAAGTACTGTCCCTCAGCTGGCTTCCTGAAGCTAGCAAATGAAGTAAGGTTTGTTTCAGAGTGTGAGAGTTTTGATCTGAACTGCAGAGGTGGATGTGAGCAGAGCAGGTCTGTGTATTAAAAGTTCTCATATGTTTTGTGTGTTTGTGTTTCAGGCCTGACAGACTGGGAGGACGACGAGATCCTGGCGTCGGTGCTGGCGGTGTCTCAGCAGGAGTACCTGGACAAAATCAAGCACCAGAGCGCCGCCATGCATCGAGAGAGAGAGCCATCACCCGACAGCAGCTGATAACTGGCCCGATACGCACAAAACAAAACAAAAAAACGCGCACACACAACAACAATGACCCTTCAACCCCAGCATCCCAACCCCACCATTACTCTCCTGCCCCTCCCCCACTTCACCTCTGACCCACTGAAGGAGCTCCACCAGGGAAAAAATAAAACATCCAACAATGATGCACTTTTTTTTTTTTTGGTTCCTCATCGGCTCATATCTCTCTGTTTCCACTCCGTCGACTCTCTTCCCTGCTTCCCATCTCACTTCCTCTTCCTTGCCTCTTTTTTTTTCTTTCTGTCTTTTCGTTTCCTGGTTACCACTCGGACGGAGCTCGGTCTTAACGCTGACTCGGCGTCAGCTGTAATTTGTACTTTTTGACATTTAAACATCGTTCTGGGCAGCTTTGAATTTTAATCCTCGTGTTTAGGGATGTACTGAAATATTGGCGGGAGATCTGCATCGCCTGCTGCCGACCTTACTGACTGCCGTTTGACGGCGTTCAGCGACGACAGCGGCAGACGTTTGCGCATTTGTTTCACTTCAGTTTCGTCCAGGCTAAATGTATAAAAAGTAGTGATATGAAGAGCTAAAAGACTTTTAAGTTTTGATTCAGTGAGTTTTTTGTTGTTTTTATACAATGAAGGTTCCTTTGCATAAATAAAATAAAATAATTAATAAAAAACTTAAATAAACAAACATTGGTATCAGTATCAGCTGTAGGACAAATTGTACTTGTAAACATTGGCCCAGAATTTTGCAATCGGTACATTTCTACTCTTTGAAATCAGGCCGTTAGCTCTGCAGCTAACATCATCATTGGTTTGAATGAAGAACGCTAATCAGAAGTGGGGGGAAAAAATGGCGGCCAGTTGGTTGTTTGTGCGTCAGGGTCCTGGAGGCTAACGCAATTACCTGAAGTCTTACACCACTAACAAGCTATATTTACAGTTAGCTTAATTAAAGAAGGTGTGTTTGTTAGCTTTTTTTTCCCTCCCCACTTATCGTAGCACACGTTATGCTAGTTAGAATTGTTTCTTTGGCCCTTTTGTTACTCATGCTGGTAGCCATTCTGCGTCAGGGAATGACTGCATTTTAAAACTTGATCATGCTAATCAGGATTGGAAATATTTAACAATGTTAAGGTTAAGTTAGCATGCTCGTCCGTGAGCAGGCTATCACTTGAAGTCTTACTGTTTTAAGGCTAGGTCATTAGCAGCGCTGCTAATAAACGGAGTCGCTGTTAGCTTAGCAATCAGTAGCAAAGTAGTAATTTTTCCTTCTGGCAGTTGTTTTGCGTGAAGATTGCTAGTCCCATAATCATTGTGTTTAGGCTAAGTTACCCAAAGTCTTTAGCGAGCAAGCTATCACACAAAAAAGTCTTATTATGTTTTAATGCTAGCTAAGCTTAGCTTGGCTGTAAAAAGCCAAACCAACCCTCCACCGCTACTGGCGGCCATTTTATGTCGACACATTTACTTTCTAAAACAGAAAAAGCGCCCCCAGCTTCACGGCCTGTAACATCCCCCCACAACCCATTCCTCTTTTTGTCTTTCTCCTCTTCCTCCTCTACCTTCATCATCATCATCGGACTTATTTAGCTGCATGTTTAATTGACCACGACCAATATCATCATAGAGAAAAGCGTAAAAAAACCAACAAAAAAAACAGAGAAAAATAGAGAGAATTGTCATACTTATCCTCTTAATGATTGATTACTGTTGTTATTATTAATAATATAAGTTTGTTTTATTTTATTTTCTCGTTTGGGATGAAAAAACTTTTTCTTGGAATAAAAAGAGGAAAATGTTTCTGAAAAAATGTGGTTTCTTTTTTCTTTTCCTTCTCCTTTTCACTAAAGTGTAGCCAAAGGCTACGTTCACACTGCAGGCGAAAGCGCATCAAATCTGACTTTTTTGACCCTATGCGACCCATATCCGATCATGGTGTGACAGTGTGAACGGCACAAATCCGATATTTTCAAATCCGATCTGGGTCACTTTCGTATGTGGTACTGAATCCGATACATATCTGATGTTTTAGAAAGCGACCGCTGTTTGAATAGTCATGTCGCATTAAATCCGTCTTTTACGTCACCGACACAAGACAGACACCAATTATCAGCACCGGAGAAGCGCCCGAGAAGACATCGCGAACACTTCCTGGCCATCCAGTGAAAGTGTTGGGAAGACAACGTTGGAGAAATGCAAACATTTTCTTTGTACTGTATAATCTGCAGATTCTGACAGAAATTGTAACTATCCTTTGAAGCACCGCTCCTCTAAAACAGCAATAAGGATAACTATTAGGCCATATGTAAATAACGAAATAACTTTATAACTTAAAGCAAAAATGTAACGTCCGAAACAAGTCTTTATATTAAGGGCCATCAGTCACACAATGCTGTTTGGTCTGGGTCTAAACAGAGCGCGTTGTGTGTGACGTCTTCTTTTGCGCATGCGGGCCGGTTTGAGGGTTCACACTAGAGCGCGTTTGCTGTCACATTGTATTTGTAGTGTGAAGAAGCAGACAAAAAATCAGTTTTGATCAAAAAATCGGAATAGAGCACTAAGACCTGCAGAGTGAACGTAGCCAAAGTGATGGAGGTCATTCTATTATACGTATAAAAACACCAGAACGAGAGACAGGGTAATATACCGAAAGAGTGGAAAGATATCACAAGTTTGAATCCAGATGAGAAGTTGTGGTTTAATGATTCTGCGATGGACCTAAATTTACTCTTTACCCTGTAAAGAAGACACTTTTTGACACAGGACTTGTATATCAACAAAGACGTGGTTTGATGAAGTTCTGGGTTTTTCCAATTGTAGCTGTATTAAGTCGTGTAGGTAGAGGTCACCCTCACTAACTTCTGACACAAACCCGGTCCTTTTGTTCTGGACTGAAATATGACAAGAAGCAGTCAGTTCAGAAAAGAGAAACAACAGTTAACCTTGTCTCACAAACACAAAGTTAAACCAACAAAAAGCCAACACTATATTAGTGTGATTAACTAATGCAGCTTTCTCTCTGACCTCTGTGTTCCTCTCTGATTTACAAATGAAACAATGAGTTCCAGTAAGAATATGAATCATTGATGTTTAAGAGCAGTTGCTTCTGTTTGCTTTTTAGCACCTCAGAAACATGAGAAAGTTGGGGGGGGTCAGTCAGCATTTTGAGAAATTAACTCAAAATTTTAAGTTATAGATGGCAAAAAATAAAAATCAGTGGCGGAAGCAAGCTGCCATGGACTGGTGTTAGAGCTCGGCCATCATGTAACTACAGTGCTGAGTACTCATCCTCTGATGAAGGCCACAAAGTATTACTAGTGAAACTGAGGTTTGTGAACAAATTCATCAGATCACGACTTGGATGAAATCTTTTTCTGCATTAGCAGTGGAGTAAAATCTGCTTTGTCCTTCTTACAGTCCTGTGATCCATTATGTCCATTTTCACCAGTTAGCCAGAGAATGAGACGGTACTCAAAGAAAGGTCAGATATGGAAGAACAGCAAAACTTTTTATTTGAGGCAAAGCTTTCAGTAGCTTTTATTAAATTTGACTGGTGGTTGTAAACATGCATGCTACTGCTTTAAAATTACTAACTTCTCAAAGTATTTATTTATTTATTTATTGTCATTGTCAAGAACAATGAAATTGCGTTTGGGGCTTCCATACAACCCAAAAAAAAAGAAGAAAATAATAAATACCCCTTAAAACCCAAGTGTACATATTTAACCCAGTGTGACTCCAATGCAATAAGACAATCCTTAGCAATAATGTTCGTAGAAATTCAGACAAAGACCTGAGAAACATGACAAAATACAACAATGCAACCCATTCAATATTATTGTACTGTGAGATATGATATCAGATATGATAGTTATCTATTTAAGAAAGAGGGGGGGGGGCAGGAGGGGAAGAGAATAAAGATATGATGCACCAGTGCAGACCAGTTCATTGCTATTAAGAAGTTGGATATGGTTATTGTCCGTGAGAGGGGGGCAGAGACTTCAGGAGCCTCACAGCCTGTGGATACAGGCTGTTGGCCAGTCTGGATGTTCTGGCCTGTATAGACCTGTACCTTCTCCCTGAGGGCAGCAGATGGAAAAGGTGGCGCGCAGGGTGATGTTGGTCCCGCAGGATACTGTGCACCCTCCTCAGACAGCGAGTGGGGAAGATATTACTGATTTCTGGCAGACTTGTTCCAATAATTCTGCCAGCTTCTTTCACCACCCGCTGGAGTGCTTGCTGATCGGCCTTGGTGCAGCTGGGGAAGGTACAGGTCTGTGTTTACTTTTACCCCCCCCCCTTTACAGGTAATTGAACCAATAAAAAAAGTTGTTCTCTTTTAGTCCAAAGAAAACGGATTAAAACAATAAATCAGCTGTATTTACAGCACTTAGACAAACACACAGCACTTATAATAATAATAATAATAATAATAATAAACTTAATAAGCATAAGAGCATGAGCACTATCAGCAGCAAAGGTGTTTTAAGCTTTTAAAAGAGGCGCAGGCAGCGTTTTTTATTTAAATGTGACAGTTTGTATGTTCCTGTAAACGCCAAATTAATTTGTAAAAAGCCCTGCAGGATGGTTTAAAATCTAAGAAAGGTTTTAGCTTCGTGCTGGGGGAAAGTTTAAAACTTTTTAAAAATCTGACGTCAGTTAAATGATGGGATTACTTGATTCTGTGGTAAGAAGCTCAGACTGAGCAGCTTCATTAGGTTCAGGGGCAGTCTGCGGTCCTCTCGGACGGATTCTTGGCACTCACTTGTCTTATTTTGACCTTCTCGTAATTATCGCTTTCACCGTTTAAAAATACCGCATTTATAATGAGGCGCGACCCCAGTCAGCAGGTAACAAAACTTCGTCACTTTGACAGAAGCTCAACAAAACGACTCTTTGAGGAACCGCTGGTTTCGGTGTGTGCGCGCGTGCGTGTCCCTGAGGGGAAACCGCCCCGCTCTTTCCCGTCAAGATATCAGCGCGCGCTTCCTCCGATAGTTCGTTGAAACAAATTCTACGAATTCTTCTCGCGGGATTTGAATATTCATGAAGGCGCGACTTGAATGTAGCCGGTTCAAAACATTGAGCACACGGCTCCGCTGATTGACACGGCTGATTGGACAGTGAGGGCGTAGTGGGCGGGGCTGCGTTAGATAGCTTTAAATAAGGAAC